TTTGAGCCATTTTTTCTTGTTCAGTAAGAACCCCGCTTATTTTTCTGACATGTGGAGTTACGTTGACACTAAATAGGCGCATCATAATCTATTAGCAAGTCCGACACCCAGGGACAACTGCAACGATCTTTGAGTGAGCGCGCAGCCGCTTCTTAAACTGCGGACCAGTGATCACGGTACTCCTCTCCTCTGTGATCATCTCCAGTCTTGAGCTTAACTGCAACGAAAAAAGCGTGCGGAATGAAGTTGGAGACCAGCTGAACTTGTTAGGAAAGCTCAGCATTTCTTCTAGTTGTTCTTCTAATTAGCACGAACTCCAGAGTACTTTAAAATCTGATTTTTTTTTATTTTAAATTCATTTGATAAGGAAAATAATTAGTAGGCCACGTTCGTTTTTTTATTACTAATTTATCAGTTTCTATCAAACTGAATGTCCCTGACAGTTTAATGCTATATTAATTTAATTAATTACATTAAATATTAAAATATTAATTTAAAGCTTTCCATTTTGTGATTCCCTGTATTTTTGTGAAAAGAAAATAAAAATGGAAAATGGAAAAAAGTTTTTAAAAATGGAAAAAAAAAGAATAGAACTGTTAAGGAACTGTGATCACAAAATTGTAACACTTTACATGTATTGTAGAGCCCAAATCACAAGGTTACAGTTTCAAAAAACAGACTTGAGGAATGAGGAATGAGACAGGTCTTTACAGAGGTACTGTATGATTGGATTGATGTAATTTTATATTTTGAAATCTACACTCAGTTTAAATTTAGATTCAAGTGAATTCTAGATTAAACTGTAAAGCTCCCTGGTTATACAATGATCTCTTACAACTAGATGATTTTTGTGATAAAACAATATATAACATTTTGCGTGTCTGTGTTGTGCTTATTTACTGTAGAATACTAATGTGACATCAGTGTGTACAGCGTAACCATAAGATTACTGAAACTTCATTTCTGACATCACTCAAAACACATATGGATTAATTATATATCACACAATCATTCATCAATATTACTAATATGTAATTGGAAGTTGTGTTTGTACCTGATTCCACCCTGCAGGTTCCAGTTCAGAAGGCAGCACCTGCAGAGATCTGCTCATGTGATCTGACACTGTTTCAGATTGTGTCACTGGGAATAGGAGAAGGAGCTTGTCTACGTCAGAAACTGAAGCTCAGTTACAATCTGCATGTGACTTCCTTTCCTTGAAGATCTGTGTGGTGGATCACAGATCAAAACACTCATCTTACTCTTTCTACACTGAAGAACAACATGTGTCCAGTGATTCTCATCACCTTGCTTGTCTTCTGTTGTGGTAAATACATAGGGTATCATATTATTTTCTGATTGCTGGTCTGCTTTCAGCAAACATTTCCTAATGGCTGTTATATATTTCCAGATCTGTCTAATGGAGATCAGGTGTATCCATGGAAGGATTTCCAAACATCTGAGGAAAACCAGGAGACCAGGATCTACTGCAATTACTCTCTTACCAACACCGTTAACTATGAGTATTTATACTGGTACCAGCAGAGACCAGGAGGAAATCCCAGATATATTCTACAGTGCTATAAATCAGGCAGTGACTATAAGACATCCAGATCTGAAGACTTTGACAGCAGGTTTACAGGACACTTGAATCTCACAGTAAAGTTCACCTACTTGTCAATCTCTAGCACACAGCTTTCAGACTCCGCTCTCTACTACTGTGCTCTGAGGCCCACAGTGAGGCTGATCAAG